CATACGCGTCCTGAGTCTGATTATTGAGTGATGCGGCGATTGCACAATAACCACAGTTGCCATTTGCAGGTGGGTTGAAGATGGACTTGATGAAAGGCACGATGAAGCAAGGTAGTTGTTTGAGTATGAACTGTTTGTCAGGGGTTTTCAAGATGCTCTTGAAGCTCGCAGAAGACTTGGATGAAGCTGTGCCCCGCTGACTTCTTTTGGATGAAAGAGATCGCTTGGTCGATTGTTTCACATTAGCGTGGGTTTCAAATTCATCTGGAAGTGGAAAGACGGCGGCTCCAAAGGATCGAGTAGCTTCCAGAGTGGCTCGTACTTTGGGATCGCCTCGATTCAAGTTTAAATCTTCTGCAATTAAAGAGATACTGATTTCCGGAACGAGTACGTGTCGCAGAAACAATTGAACGCTGAGTGGGGACGCCCTTGCGGCGTTAAGATGTGATTTAGAGGCTATGTCGTTAATGAATAGTTCCTCCAGTGTTTTAAGAATGATCACATATCCCTCATATCCATAACTAGAACAAGAAACATGTGACTTCAGACACTATTGGATGATCAAGAAGGTACCAGGTGGAAAACTCACTATCCAGGTTGTTCAACCTCAAAATGATCCATTTGCGCATCAATTCGATTCATGTGGCTGTGTCCAATTAGCTTTTTGGCTGATTCAAGATAAGCGGACTTCTGGACTTTGCATATGATATTGCTCAGGACCATTGAATGTTTCTTGATGCGACTGTGAGACAAACAAACAGGGAGTTAGACAGAGTATTAACAAGATGGAGTGTAGAGTGGATACATACTCAGATAATCCACTGAAATCGATTGCTATTGGCCATCCCTTGCTGACACCAAGCGGTATGATGTCTGTCTCCACGTGATGCAAATGACAGAAGTCTGCTGTTTGCATGAACTGTGCTTCAAGCGTGACATATCAGTAAATTGATGCATACCAAAAAAAGATAGATCAGATACATACCAGAAGTGACATTGCTCCGACACGGCCAATACCTTTTCGAATGTTAGGCATCTTCAGTAGGGTTTCCATGAGTTCAGTGAGCTTGATTGACGGTTCTTTAGGAAGAGGGTCGTCACAAAAAGGACAAAGGTTCTCATTCTCTTCAGATTCGTCTTCAGATGATGAGTCAGATGAATGTTGCGAGCTTGCACTGGAGTCACTGGAGTCTGATTTCTTCAGCGATTCTTCATCCGTGTCGTCAGCTAAGGAAACGCCCGTTGATTCTTTATCCACCTCGTCCAAAATGAAATCTTCTTCCATTTGAAAGAAATCATCCATCATTTGCACATCAGCGGCAGAGGTCGATGGTAATCCTTGAGCGGAAGTCGAAGAGCCAGAGCTGGAGGCAATAGGTAGGTTGGATGGATCCTCGTCTTGTTGATCTTTGGAGGTTTGAGAAGCACGAGATGGGCACGTTGTGATTTTGTGACCACCGATTTTGCAGTAGCTGCATTTGCTAAGCCGAGGGGTTTTCTTTGCCTCGTCGATTTCGTGTTGAGACTTCCATCTACCTTGACTCCCCTCATTTTCTTGAGATTTCGTAGCTTTGGGTCGACCACGATTGTTGGTCTTCACATTAGCATTCAATATTGGTAAGAGCGTGTATCGATTGGTCTCAAGTAATCCAATTTCCACATAGAGCTTGCGCAAAGTTTGTTCAGGTAGTTCAATAATGCGGTCGAATCTTGATCTAGCAGCAGCTTGAAGTCCGACATGATTGGCTGGAGGGACCTCCATGAAAAGATGCCACTGCGTGTGCATGAAGTCCGTTGATAGGAAATCCATGTTGTCACGCGCAGTTGCCAGTTCATGAGAGCAGGGAAGGCCCCAGGCGCCTCTGAAAGTATGAGTGCAAGGCTTTTGGAGCGAATCAGGCAATAAGTTGTACTGTTCCTTCATTTTCTTGAGTGCGTAATGAGAGATGCGTCCATTCAGGTCTTTGAAGAATATAGGAAGACCTTCGAGTGTTTTAGTCTGCTCAACTCCAACTGATATAGTGATTTCGCTCATCTGGTGTTCTTCAAACCTTTTGAAAGAATTGAAACAAGTGACAAAGTCGTTATTGCGGCCATCGAGGAATCGTTTGGCCCTGAAGTGACTGCCTTCCACTCGAGATGTTGATGAGTTACCAAAATGAGGTGATTCAGAGGTAAACAGCGTGACAAACTTCTCCTTTCGATAAATCCAAGTGTTTTGCAAGTAATCAAAGACATCATGGGCTCTTGCTACTTTGGTAAGTTCTTCAAGATTTGAATCGTATTCAGCAGGTGTTGAGGAGGCGACATACAAGTTCCATAGTTTCATAAAGTCTGTCCATTCGGTATTGGTAAACTTGTTCTTACAGTTTTTGGCGACATTCTGGTTGATGTGCCACACACAGAGGATGTGGGTAGCTTCGGGAAAAACCGTTCCAATAGCATTGAACAGGGCCGGTTCAGCGTCCGTTGCGAAAGTCTGAGGCAGCTGAACCGTCGCGGAGGCATCCTCATTGTGAAATATGACGTCTTTGAGCTGGTTCAAGGCCCACTCATACTGGGGCTCCTTTTCTCTGCTCATGAAACACATCGCCACGGTGAATGATTTGTGAGTATTTGTCGTACCAACGATGTGTAAGAGTGGAAGGTTGAAACGGTTAGTTTTGTAAGTACAATCGAGAGCAAGAACCGTGGGGAATCAACGAGCCAGAGCAATGGCGGAAGGGCTAGCAAAGAAGAGGTTGAGCAACGTTCCCGTTTCCGAAGTTAAAGTGCGATGCGCCCAGATGCTTGATGTAATCAAATCAAAAAGACCTTGAACAGGAGTCCGACCATTGAGCCAATTGGTTCTAGCACGACTTCGGACGTTGTGTATGTCACGAACTAGTGGTTGAGAGTCGGGATCAATCTTGAGAAGGGACCGAATTTGAGTTGCACGGCAGCCAGCAGAGGAAAATAGGTCAATTTGCTCGAGGTTTTCGGGAGAGAATCGTCGATAAATTGAGAGATCACTAGGTTTATCAAAGGGGTCATGGTTGTGTTTCGTTTTGCAGATCTTCTTGAGGTCTTGAGTGACAATCCATCGGTCACGACGGGAATGATAATTTAGGGAGATCTCAAACATACAACCGGTCTTCTTTGAAGAGGATGATCGTTTCTTGGCTTGCGAAGGAACTTTGTGGCCGGCTTTCTTGTACCCAAGTGAGCATTGCAAATAAATTCTAACCGTTTGTTCTTTGTCGGATTTGTGACTCTTGATAGTGAAGGCATACCCTTGATGACGTGCAACGGCATACATGTACATCAAACCATTCTGCATTTGGACAAATTCCTTTCCCACCTTTGGTGAGCGAAGCAACCTAATTGGCGAGACACCTAACACAAAAAGAATGCACATACACGTCAGTGAAAGACGTAACGAAGATTAGAACGGTATGTACATGGTTGGTGGCTATTTGGGCATACCTAGTTGGGGCCAGTCCGCGTCTCGTTTGTGAGGAACTTGAACCTCTTCCTCAATGGCCTCTACTACGTTGGTAAGATCAATAACAGCTGGGATATCAATTACCGGGGTCGTGACGTTAAGAACAGGCGTTGCGATAAGGTTTTCGGGAGGTGAAGTTTGAGATGGAGTCATCGCAGGTGTTTGGATGTGGACAGTGGTCGAAGTAGAGCTTTCGGTGGTGGCAGGTGAAGTAGACAATGAGGTGGTGGCGGGTGAGATTGCAAGTGTCGAAAAAGAGGCCGTAGAGGGTAAATCACTCATAGTTTGATGGTTCAAAACAGGTTGGTGTGGTTGGTTTATGTAAGGATTCATCGGGTCGGGAAACAAGGGTGCTTGATGATACGCCGCTTGCGGCGGCCAATTCATCCCAGATGGATGAGGTTGATGATAACCAAATGGAACCAAGGGGTTGATGGGTCCTTGACTTCCGTTTGCGAAGAAAAAAGGTGGTGCGTACGGTGGATACCAGTAGGAAGGAGGGGGTAGATATCGATTATGACCTTGGCCGGTTTGGTCGAAGCCGTGGGGAGGAGGGTAAGCGTGATTATGGGTATTAGGATGGGTAATATTGTTGTTTGGGAGGTGGGGATGAGGGTCTGGGGTAACTTCCATCGGTGTTAAGGCTGGATGATGTGGGTTTGACATGGTGTGTATGCAGTATGTATTACGTGCTGTAGTGTTGTTGATCTGTGAACTGTAAGCTCAAGGTTTGATATTGACTATGAAGTATGAACGAAGATGAAAGAAGACTGTATCTGTGTACTAGTAGGGCGTGTAAGCCGAGTTAGCTAGCCGTGTTGTTTGTTTTGGGGAAGTTGTGGGGTGTTTGTGGAAGATTGTGTCAAGATGTTAGGAAAGGATGATACTTGGTGAAAGTGGACAAGGGGGAAAAGGGGTTGGACGCCCAAGATGTCTTTAAGGGAGTTTGCGTTTCTTGCGTGCTCTCTCCCTTTGGGCAGCAGGGAGATATGGTGTCAAGGGCCGGTCCGGGCATTGATGTCATTGATAGCCCTTTTGAAAAGTTTCTTCACAAAAGGAAACTTCTATTTGCCCTATTGTGGACACATGGGGCGCAAATCAGGTCATGTGTGGAGCCCCTGGTGGGAACGTGCTTGTGAGTTGAGCCCTGGAGTCGCCCTGCATGTCCGACTGAGCCAAATTTAGGCTCATGAAATCGGGTTGCGTCGGATACCTCGGGTAATGCTCCCAAAAAAAGGGGCGACGGATATTTCCTAATCGGGCGATAAATAGTGGGGTCCATTTAAATAAGTATATAAATAAATGATTGCAAAATCTATGTTTAACGGAACTCTATATTTTTAGGGAAGTGCTTAAGAACTATGTTTGAGGCGAGGTGAAAGAGTAACATTCATCATATGGGATGCAGAAAGTACTTTCTCTGTGAGTGATTTGAACCTTTGAATATTTTAACAAGAGATCTACAGGGTTATTTCTATCCTATCTGAGGTATCCAAACTTCCTGAAGCATTTTACTTCAAGGGTTATGATAAGAACAATTACCATAATGTTTATGTCGACTGTCAAATGATTGACGAAATTTTATTAGCCACACAGAACGGCTGGTTAGTCTCAGCGGCATCAAGGGACCTGGATATAACTTCAAGTTGAAAAAGCGTCAATCTGGAAGGTGCACTTACGTCAATAAGTCAGTCCTAGTGAAGCTTTGGCCGCATTCACATTTATACGGCCTGTTTATGCCAAGCTTTGGTCAATTCTCATTTTCGTGCGATTGATGTGAGGAAAATGTTGTCATAAATGTCAAACTGACCTTTCTCCGGTATGTGAGCGCTCATGACGAGCCAAATCATTGCGGCGGTAGAATGTAGCTGCACAACTGTGGAAATTGTTCAGATATAGGTACAAGAGATAACAAATATCAAAATGGTGAACGAGACTTCACAGATCGAGCAGGCCATACATCGCATTCTTGATTTAAAGGAAAACTGCATTTATGAAGGGTCGTCGATTCAAGGAAAAACTTACTAAGCGCATTCAAATCTCCTTTCATCTCTGTGAATTGCAGCTTTATGCTGTGTCAAGTTAAAGCCACGGGTGAAAGTTTTTCCACACCCAACGTAGTCACATACCCATTTAGGCGGGGGTGCTGGATCAGTGAAGTTGCTTTGATTTTGGCTTATTGGGCTAGGAAAGGGTGCAGAAGAGCTTGGGATCTGAGACCTTCCTCCTGGCCAGTTCATTGACTCAGACTGATCTACGCTCTGGTGTAGTTGATAGAGAGGTGAATTTTGACTCCTTCTGTGACTCAAAAGGTTCATAAAAAGAATAGCTCATGTCAGACGATGCCTCAACCGAGATTCAGGAAGTGCATCACGACCACTAGGATATGGGACATAGAAAGGAGCCTGTATTTATACTGACGGATTCGTATAGTCAATCCGAGAAGAACCTAGGCTTCCATCGGACGGCCGATTTTGACGCCGGTGATGGTGGCCTTCAGGTGAAGAATTCGGCCCGCCTTCCAAGAAAGGAGTCTGGGGGCTGGCTTGCTTAAAATCATTCCTAGTATGGTACTCAGAGATATGCGCAGGAGGAAATCCTTGGTACGAGGTGAGATCCACAGCACTATTAGATCTTCTTCGAAAGTTCATATCGGGGATTGACAAGTAAGAGGGATTTGCTGAAACAGGCTGGCTATGAGAATGACTAGATGTTCGCTCCTCTCCGCGTGAGGGACTTAGGACATGTGTGTCATGCGGCGACTGATGAATTACGTTCAATGGCTCGTAAATTGCAGAATTTCGAGATGCCGCCAGGTGAGCATGAGTACAACTCAACGGCGAAGAGCCGAGGGAGTACATAGAAAGATCGCCTGGCCTCGAAGGAGAATAGCTGGACAGCATTGCCGAGCGACGCCCCGGACTGTGTAATGCTGATAGACCTGAACGACCTCCGGTGGACGTCGAGTCAATAGTGCGGCGAGATTGACGAGAGTGATGATCGAAATCTTCGATAGATTGACGAAGCGCCATACGTAAAGGAGGAAGTTTGGGTCGATCCATCTTCTGATAGATTTGCGAAGAACTAAGGAGAGAATGGATCCGATGGTGATATAAAACCCTCGTATCCTTCACAGAACTCGCGCCGATCAAGATAATTGAATAGCTACCACAGATTGCAATAAAAAGAAGGTATGTAGTAAAATATGGAATGAATGGGATCTTTCTTAAACGTTGATTGAACAGACTAGACCAGATTATCACAAAGAATTACGGTCACAGGAACGATAGAGGAACGGTATTTGAGGGTTATCTGCGGACGGCAGGTATATGCTGTAACTCGCTCCTAAGCTCAGCGAAGTTTGGATGAAACACTTTATCGAACGGTGACGGCAGCGTTGAATCATGATTACGCACATATATGACCTTCTTGCAAAGACTCTTCTATCCTCAAGAAAACGTCGGGCGTCAAGGTGCAAACCGATCGGTAACATGATTTCAACATCAGACTAGTGATGGGAATGTGTGGTACAACTGGGTGACTGTACAATATATATGAAGTTAACACAAATTGTGATGACTGATAAAAAAAGTTCAACTACTGCGTGGCGTTGGCCATAAGAATTGGGTTTGTGCGTTTGGAAGGTGATGTTGAATCGTGGTTCACCCCATGCTTTTAACACAGGTGGAGAATGCTCAAATGCTGGTCTCAAGGGCTTATGATAAGATGTTCCTTATTTTCATCCTTATGATTTGGAATGGTGGGTTAGAACGATGTTAACCACCGGCAGGGTGCTCAGTAGTGGTTTGTGCTTGGGTGTGAGCCTGGCCACCTCCTGGGATGTGGTGTCAGAAATTTCGTAAGGATAGGCTCTGAGTCTGTGCAATTTTGATATCTCTGTGATAATCAGAGCCGCAAGACTTTGTCAAGCATCGGGATAAACAGTCGGAGTATGTCATAATTGTAAGTGTAAACGCCATCAAGGCCAATAAAATATCTTCCGAATACACGCTGGTCCATTCGAACCTCGGCTGTCAGCCTCCATCATCATGACTCAATTCAAGTAACGGGTGGGTATGAACGGTAATTTCATAACCCATGTGATGCAGTTCTTTCACTGTTAGTGAGAGCACAGCATAAATGACTATCAACTGAGAGTCAACTTCCATGAATTTTAGCGTTCCACGGAACACAGACCCACCAGCGTCATTATTCCGAGAAAGGTCAAAGAACCGGCTCAAGACTTCACATGTACGCCATCGATGGAACTCGGAAGAGCCGCGTGAGGATTTCACAATTTGTACGCTAACTCAGATGTAATTCCATAATCTTGAGCGCCTCATTTCCCTTCAACACGTGTAGCATACAGTCTAATGACGGTCCCTTCAAATTGAGCGGTCGAAGAGAAATGGTCTATATCTGGTAACGGCTGAACCGGCTGACCCGGCAAGTAAGAGATGATAAGCAAGACTTTTGAGACCCCTTCAAAAAATTGCGCAGTGCATTTTTGGACCCCTCATACCGATCGTAAACTCGGCAAGCCGCTCTCTGAGCTTCTCTGAGACTCTTTGTTCAATCAGCGAAACCAAATAAGGTTAGAGGTCCCGCGTCTGGAATCTTTTGTGTGATCGACGTACAGTCGTTTGGAAAAAGCTTGCCACAAAGTCGCCGCCAAATTGCTCGAGTTTTGCGGGCAGATTCGGGCAAGCTTTGTGAAAACGACTGTACATAATAATGCACAGTCGACGGATGCCTGACCAGTGTAACGTCAAGGTGTCAGTATAACTTCAGCCGAAGGATAGCTCAGTATAACTTCAGCCGAAGGATAGCTTTGTGATATGATGCATAGATACCCGAATCGGCATACACAAACATCCACATGCATCCAATCATCCTACACATCCTACCATATCCCGCGGGCCGCCGAAATCCCTCATGGTATAATTCCTGGCTCTGTTGCGGAAATTGCTCCAGACGAGTATTAGTTTTCATTCATCCTCTTTGTAGATTCATTGTCTCGATTTCTATCATGTAATGGTGATTCTTTATCTTTACTCTAATGACTGGCGAGTGCAGGGAGAGCTCCTGATTTCACAATGTCAATAGCTACGAGTCTTTTTGGGAGCTATGCAGGTTCGATGAACTGATGGACCGCGTCCTCTTAGATATTCTTTGACGTACGTTTTGATCTGACCTGATGCACTTTGACGTGAGAATGGACCAATAGAACAGGGCAGCCTCGCAAACCACAGGTCAGTGGTCTTGAGGGATAAACAGTGTCTTACTCGCGCTATCCAAGATACAATAAGATCACGATGCCTTGCAGGGTGACAATGGCGAGCGGTTTCTAAGGAGAATAAGACATAACTTACCAAAGAATTTTGCTTTTAAAGCGCTGTGGTACTTGTATTCTAGGCTGTTTTACATGTCTTGTAGTTTACGTCACAGCCGCCAAAGGCAGTAAATAAATGACCCCAAAGCAAAGAGAGATTGAACTCTTCCTTGTTTGGGTGGCTAGTTAAGTATAGAAAGGCAGGTTGTACAAAAACATGAGAGACAATCACATTGGTTATTGAGGTAGGAACTAGGTAAACATGTATAGCAATTGACACAATGAGGGGGGGTCGATTAGCCTTGTATTGGAGCGTGGTGCTAGGGTTGTACCTCTCAATTAAAGGGCACAAGATCCTGAGCAGATGTGTCCACATAATCTGGTCTAGAAGTCAGACTTTCATGTGCTTAACCACGCGGCCATTAATCTCAGTTGGTATTCAAGTCAATGAATGATGGCTCTGATGAAGGCCAAGCTAATAAGGAACACCCAGCCATCCCCCCAAACTCAATGTGTGCCATAAGGATCAGTCTCAGAGAATGTCAAGGAAGTGTTTGAGGTATGAAAATTGAGTGATCAAAGTGCAAGTTCAAGTGGGGGATTCAAATCTTGTAGCTCAAAGCTATGAGAAAAGTGAGGTAGAAATGGATCCAAGAAAAAGGCCCAACCAAAAAAAAATGTTTTATCTGGGCTCACATAGTGGGAAATCACTCAGTTATGTGGACACTCAGAGTCGTGCCTGTGTGGGTATCCACACCAAATTTCAATATGTCACAGTTTATGGTAATTGGCTGTGGATGATCTTAGCAGTGAGCTGTCATTTATATTAGCTAAGCCATACTTTGCTCCAACCAACACTTGTTGTGGCCCATGTTTTTCAAGCCTGGGAAAATTGAAATGCTCATAATGCTCACATCTCTTGCTTACGCTGTAAGTTTAACCCCTAGTGTGTTCAGCGAGACCAATAAATAAAATAAAACCTATTGGTCTGAATAATACTCTCACTTCAGACTGTAGGAAAATACTGTTCAACTTTCAATCATCTCATAAACACCACATAAAGACTTGTAGACCCAGACCAAGCATCTTTGTACCTTCAAAGACAAGTTCCAGAGACTCAACAAACTTGGTAGCAAATATACAAAGAAGTTGTTGATTAGACAAAATCTTCAAGTGATTTTCATATGGGTCCACTGCACAAAGCTTTTAGCTTGGGAGCAAGAATCTCCTAACAGGACTGTAAATTCTTATTGATGAGCTTCTTGTCCCTGACCAACTCTGCCATAAACCATGATGTAACCAAAATGACGGGACATGTGGATCATTGGACAGACCTTGCTACGCAAGAGGATACCTTGGCAAAAATCTATGCTTTTGAATGCCCTGGATTTCTACAGAGATGACTGTATACAGAGCATTCACAGAGATTGGTTCCCAGATCAGGCTACTATAATACAAAGAAAACTCTTAGTGGGAACTCAATAACTTAACCCAAGTCTGATTCTTACAGGTATCTCTTGACCTTCCAAGCTTGGTGGCCTGAAAAATACTTGTGAATCACCACCTACTTTTGGTGAGCAAGAAGAACATAAAAAACACCCCACTTGGACACAGTCTTCTATCTTTTGTTGCTCAGATATCACTATGATTGTCAAGAAACTGTCTTCAAAAAATCAAATTAAACAACTTTGGTCTTTGCACACAGTTGAGAGCTCAAATGTCTCTCCTCTTTCAGGAAAGATGATGAAATTCAGTGAACTCTCTTGTTGGTTTTGATTTGAAAATAAATAAATTAACTGCAACCAAAGTTTGACTTTCAAAACCAAAAACCACCTTTCTATCTTGAAAATTATCTGAGAAAGATATAGAGAATCTGGATAGGTAGAAATGAAGTAATTGATTACAGGTACCTCCAGAAAAAAAGACCACAATATTTTATTGAGGACAAGTGGGAGAATTTTAAGTTGTGAAAAACCTCCAAGCCAAACTCAAATTTAAAAGGTCCAGATGGCTCACCAGGCCCATCTCAGGCTGGTAAGTCTCCAGTCCTTCTACAGACACTCAAGCCTGAAAGGATCGAGTGCTTCACTGGTAGACTGGTAGGAACATGAAGGTACTTGGAAAGATACAAGAAGAGCTTCCAAGGTATCATTGGATTCAGATGTTCAATGAATGGTTGATCTGAAATGTGTAAAACACTCATCAGTGCAGCAGACATAACATCTCTAACTGGTCTTGCCAGTTTTGGTCTCAAATTCACTGAACCACACTCAATGTGTGTGATGGGCTTGGCATGGCTATGTCAAATCTAACTGACAAGAAAAGGGAAACTCAGTTTTAACCCTGAAAGCAAACAGAAATCAAGATGATTACACAGATATTTTGAAAAAATGTACAGAAGAATGATCACAAAGATGCTTGATCATCATTGGAGGGTCCTCCTCCCTCCATATTGCTCAAATGGTTGACGAAGAAAATTAACAAAACTAAAAATGTAAGTTTTCAATGAGAAAGATCCTTCAAAGAAATTAGATCAACCATTCTTTGAATGGATGTAAGTAATGGATTGATCTCTCAAAAGCCTATCATCTACCACAGTACACCCCAGACATGAGGTTGGTTTGGTGTATACATAGCTACATAGCCTGTATGGTACTAAGTAGCTCATAATACCAACTAAGTTGAGCTTCAGGGGCCACAAAAACTCAGGATTCAATGTTTTAGCCCCCG